ATTATTGGGAAAAAAATGGAATCTCTTACAGGCTTACATTGAACACCTTACTCGTCTTCCCGTTACCTGTCTTATTGCTGGTACCTACATGCATATGGCAAGCGAAATTTCTCTTGTTACTAGTATTGGAAAAGTCGAGAGTTTGCGTGCTCATATTGTGCTAAAGCTTCCCTTCCTTTTACAAAATGATGTCCTGCGGAACCTTGATACTGTAATCAACCTAACAGATGTTACACATAAAACTCGTGAATGCTTGGGATATATACTCAGAGGACGACCTAGAAACTGTGCATCTTTCGTTCGGAAATTGATATCTGAGCGAGAATTAAAAAATATGACGAAAGACCAAGAAATTCGAGAGCTTATTCACGGATGGTTTGAAAGGATGGCACTTGATATGGCAGTATACCTGGAAGACGCATGTAGTTTTTTGGGTGCAAATAGTCTCAATCCAGAAATAGCAATTTTGGATGTTCTTAGGCTTCGTGTTTTTTACAATCATAATTTCAAGCAAGCCATAAAATTACTCCAACACAGTATTATTCCCTGCCAGTCACCAGAATGCATCGTTCTCAGCCGTCATATCGTTTTTTCTGATGTGATCAAATTTAACCCATTACTTGAATCTTACCTAGTCTCTGGAATCGAAGTTTATTTTCTTAAAAAAGGGAAAACTTTAGTAGATATCTTTGTTGACAACATTTCCCGGTTCAATAATATTTCTTCAATTGGTAATGAATTTGATGCAGTCTTTATTACGTCGATTATCCAGAAACGTGGATGTAATGTACGAAAAGAGCTTAACAAGTGGAAAAATGGACAAGATTTCAACCTTCCTTCATGGATCACTCCCACTATGAAGTTTATGACAATTTCAAATCTGTCAGGAGGGATTCCTATTGCAAAATATGTTGGTAATATGACTCATTATCGTTCTTATGCAATTCAACCAGACATATACTCGGGATCGGACGTGGTGATCTCTTTAGCAGATGATGAGCAAAATGTGGTACTATTATCGACAAGCTGTACAGTTTCTGGGGAACCCATTAAACGAAGTAAGATCAAAAAACAGTTATTCAAGTCATGCATTTGAAGCTTTAAATGTGAAGTTCGTGAACTTTACCGGAAAA